TATGACACACATGCTCTGTTCCGCACTTCATATGAGAGCGCGTGAATCTCAAATTGGCGAAAATGTCATAAATGTCACATTACGGAGGGGCGATTATGGCCGAACTCTAAACCCTGAGAAAGGCCAAGGTATCCTGTCAGTTGACAGCCATTTAAGCTACGACTTGTAGTGCACTGGTGTGCCGTAAAGATGTGCTTTATAATGTCAGCATCATTTTCTCTTCCCTCTCCTATGCCTAGAATCAGGCACTTCACAGATTTTCTGTAGTAAACTGTGTCTTGACTCTCAAATTCCCGGGATGCGTATTTACTGGAAACGTCTTCCGTAAACATTTATATCTGTTCACAAACTTTGGCCACTTAGCAAGTATCAGAATTAACCCCTCTTGTCGGCGTTCTAGGCACAGGAGTCTTCTTTTTGCTCCGGCTTTTCATTTGTGGGGCCCCGGTTAGGGGGGGTGATTTTTTCACGCTCGAACACTTAAGTATTCTGTTTCTGAGCACAAACTACGTTTATTTGTACTAGGAGGTACAGTTTCCAGAAAAGCAACAGCAATAGTTGTTAGTCTTCTTCGGTTCGTTTTATGTTAGATAGGGCACTGGACACTTGGATTAAGCGTATGGTTTGAGGTAGTTCCTTCCTTCCTAACACTACTTTTGTCTATTATTAGCTTCCCCACTGGCCTGTAATGCTTTCGTCTCGTTATATCCGCTGGCTAGTTGATAGTTGTTGGTTTCAGTTTTGATCAGAAGGGCACCTTCCGCCGATAAAACACATGCTGGTAATCTTGTTTATTTTTTGCGAATATTAATTCAAACTTAGAAATGCATAAGCTAGTGCAGAATAATTACTAAATATTCACAAGTTTCCATCAGGCAGCCCGTTAGTTACCATACTGACAGCGTAAATATTAGCTGAAAGGCCAGACACGTGTGTTTCGTTCATTTTGTGCTGCTGCCGGACGCAGTTGTGAGGGGCTCAGCTCATCTATGTACCTCCCAGCGCTCCCCGGGGTCTTAACTTCAGTCTGTCCGAGGAAAGTAATCACGTATGTCTCCGACCATCTATGTTTTCAATGTTGTAGTGATGGTTAATTCTTGAACTGGACTATCTTTGCAAGTCTTAAACACTGTTTGCGGCATTAATATCAATCTCAGTCTTTGGAATGGTTCAAAGCTTGGTCACAAGAAGACCATTTAGGCAAACATCGATCCTTATAATTAATGGCTAGGTCGCAAGCAGATTTGTGGTTGAGGACGTCAGGAAGGAGCACACTTTGCAAGTAGCAAATTTACTCAGTTTGACTAAACGTGCACTGCGTAAATAGGGGATTCCCTTACGCTTATCTTCAAGCAGCCATCATTTTTCATTCATTAGCAGATTTTGACGCTATCCTGAAACGAATAGCTCTGTGAAACGGTTTCATCTCATTCCTTTCTCTTCCCGTCTTTCTTTTCACCCTTTCTGGTCGTTGCCGCAAGGTGTGGGCTTCACAGTTCACCAACTTATCGCTCACCCTTTAGCTCCTGCAGAGTGGAGGTAGACGCTAAGACCGGCGATCCGGTTACACTGTGGTAGGTCTGGCACTTAGTCCCTGGTTTAGTAGTATCTTACCTTCCAGTCAAAATAAAGCCCTATGGAAGGGAGAAACGCGTAACAATGAATTCATCCTGGCCACCGTGGATTTGCCTTCACTCGGAGAGGATATCTCCTACAAGGTACGCTTACGGGGTCCTCTTATACTGGACTGAAATTTTTCAAGCCTCCACTCTAGCTCGTTCGTCCTCCTCGAGTATATAGTTTTCGCCCAACTTGACAGGGCCTGAGTTGTACCCTTGACCATTTGTCCAAAGTTAAAAGACCGTCGTAGCATATGGGGTTGCCTAATTATTTGCTGAACACCCAGACTAAGGTTTATGTAATGAATTTCGGAGACACTACCCGGTAGCACTCACGTGAAGTTCATTTTACTTCACAGTGACACTGTATCCATGGCTGTATTATTGGCTACCGGAGTTCCAGGGGGCGTACAATTTTGTATTTTTGCGGACGCGGAATTTGACGAAGCTAGACATAACTGACTCGAATGTTCCCGGTTACTGATATGTATGGGTGCAAGTGCGCTCGCCCTCAAAGTCTGATTTTTTTTATGAGAACACTGACCTTCGTTTTTTGCTCCGGGTAAAGGTTTTATTTCGGACGCAGTATTTATCTTCAGGCACCAGCCTGCCACCAGTAACTGTTATGTACGAAATCGGTGCGCTAGTGGCACTCCGAAAATGGTGAACAGTGAGCCTTTCCGAACAGTAAGCATGCAAGACAAACTCGCACCTTCCTGAAAACAGAACCCTGCGTACTCCCCATTGACTTTTTGTTAACACTTTTCGATCAACCTCTTTACTCTTAAAGCGGCTGCTTGCTAGACATCCTCATAAAGTGAAGTTAATGATGATTCTTACTGATGTTATTTCCGCATGAGATCGTTGTATTAGCCTATTTATAAAACCTTTCTGTAAAAGAACTGTTTTCAGTGGAGTGTAGAGTCGGTCCACAGAGTGAGGTCATTTTTAATCAGATTGTGTTGAGGTGTGGGCTGTGAGTGAAGTACGTTCGACGCGCTCTACCGAGTCCTATCTTAGCCCAAAATGAGTATTCGCGGCAGAGACAAGTTTGCATGTTAATCGCTTTGAAAGGGAAGTGGAGAAGAGTGGGTATGTTGTTCCAAATGATGCTTGTGTTAGTCTAGGAATATACAGGGAGGTGTCCAACCCCGGCAGTGTATGCCCGAAGTGTCGGTTCTCATCCTGGATAGGGGTAATATCTTTCTTTGGTACTCGCTGTGTTCATCGGCCTATTGTTTATTTTGGGTATTAAGATGGAGGCCAAGGTTGGTCACCAGACCACTTCGGGTTATGTTGGGCTGTGTTCCTTAACCTTCTGGCTTTGCGTTCTTTCCGCCTCTCCTCGGCACTGCCCATATAGTTATCTTCGATGGTTTCACTTCCTTTCTGGTAACTCGTCCATAATACCACTGCTGTGTGGGGCCTTGGCAGAATTACCTAGTAATTGCTTGACAAACTGACCTATTGATCGGCTTATTTTTGCTGCTGTGATGACTGTTTCAACGGGAGCTGTGCTTTTGGGGCAGAAATACACTATGGTGAAAATCGTCTGGTTCATGCTGCTATTATCGTGCTATATGACAGTCTGCTTGACCAGGTCTTCTTTCGGCGTTCTAGACAGTCATCCTTGTGCTGCTTTTACCCACCATTTTGGGGCACGCATGAGCCAAACTCGACTATCACCAGCAAGATTGAATTAGAATACTTCCAGCTCAACGCTTCTTATTTCGTCTGCTAGTCTGCTACCGCCCTTCCTCGAGTTTTCTCTCTTTTCTGTCCCTTCCTTCCTTTCTTTCCTGCGCTTTGCACCTCCATCTTTGCTTCCGACTGACGGTACAGGCGCACCCTTCCTTTTACAGCTCCTGTAAACTCGACACTGGCCTAAATACAGGCATCCGAGGACTGGTATGGTAGGTGGTTGGCCCTCCTGTTGGCCCCTCATTGTCCTCATTGTAGTGCAAGCGAAAGTCTCTGGACTAGCGCTGGACCCAGTCCCTCCCCGTCCTGGCTTACGGCAACTATTGATTTGCCAGTTACTGCTGACCTTGACACCTTCAAGGTCTGTCTTGCAAGATAGTGTGTGTGTGTGTGTGCAGGGGTTATTTTTCCCTGGAGAGATCCATAACATGCTCGTGGCTGAAGTGGTTGTGTCACTAGTGGGTTGACAGTCGTTAGAGCCCACGTCACTGTGTATTGTCCTCACTGGTCTGTGCCTCATAAATTCCCTCCTACCTGGCAACTGTTTGACTTCCCTGACTCCGGTTGGTGGGCGTATCCTATTCTTGCCCTCACCACGTCAACTGAACTCATGTCTCCCTCTCCCGTCACCAATTCCGCTCGTTAAAAGTTTCCCTTTTGTACTATTTCCATGCTTGTGCATCCGTGCCCTTCTAATTTTCCACCGGACCCAGATCAGGGAGTGTGGGAGATGGGTTAGGGGGCGGAAAGTGCTGCTGATTGAGGAATATTCCCGGCAAAGACAAGGGAGACTGGAATTGCCATTTCCGGCTCATTAGCCGTCATCAGTCAGTCTTTGCCGGCACTATTCATCTGCCTATACTACTAGCCATTGTGCGGCTGCCGGCGTGGTTCGTGGGTGTGGCTTAAGGTAGATCGGGGTGTGTGAGTTCTGTTATCGATCAGTGAGCGTTAATCAAGGAGTATCAACATGCCTGATCTAAACCGGGCAGTAAACGAGCCTGTAGCTCAATAGTTAGGGAGTTAGGCTTCTTATCGACAAGTTGCGCGTTCGAGCCTCGGGTGAGGCATCACCTGCGATTGAATATTATTGGCCGATGACAGCCAATGAGCCAGAAATGGCCATTCGAGTGTCCCTTCTCTTTGCCGGCAGTACTATCTGCCCACGCTGCCAGCTGCTGTAGGGCTCAAGGATGAGCCCCAAGGCAAATGCCATGAATAACCAATCAAGGCAAAAGGCTTGGATACGATTTGGGAAGAGATTGTTAGAGAATTGTTTCGGGCTTACTTGCCTTCATTCAGCTGAGCGTAACCATAGTTACGAGCTGGTTGATTGCTTCTTCGTGACATTTGCCACCTACACGTAGCTTGTTTGCTTCGGGACGTCAGCAGATCCGTGTGCGCGTACTCCTACTGGAATAGATAACCGATTTGCAAAAACAGTACATGAGCGATGTTGAGGCACTGACGAACTTCGTTTCGATTTGCTTTTTATGACCCGTACACTAGACTCCGTATGTGGATCTTCTGTGCTGTATACGAACGCATGCTTGTGTCTCTGGTCCCAGCTGGTAGTTGACGTTATGATTGGCTGAACGACGGCAGAAAAAAACCGAATCAATACTTTATCAATTTGGCCGCATTATCTGTCGTCCTTTCCACCTCTGTTCCAGCGGTGAAGTTCAGGCATCCACCCTGCCGGCTTGCAAGTAATTATCGGTGTTGTAGGGAGTGGACTGACTTAATCTCTCCCGCTCGCGTGTCCATCACTGTGAGATCCGCTCTGAGGGCTCGATATTGGATCTGCGAACTCAGCAGACCAACCCGCCATCTGTTTCACAATCAGGCTACATCGGTTCACACCGTTTTTCGACAAGACCTAGACGTTTTGCCTAATGTTTGGGCGTTTATTGATAAAATCTTCTTAAACAGTTGGTTGGTTGGTAGCCCATGTTGGATCAGGGGTTCCCGCCGGAGTCCA